TAATCGTAATTCTCTCTATATTTCCTGGTCCCAGCACTAAACAGATAATGTGATATATATCTGGCTTGATGATAACTAATAGAATCTACCCCATCATTATTGCCACTTTGCTAGACAAAAATTAAGTATAGGCCATGAACAGACTGTGAATTGATACCCTCATGTGTGTGGCATTTGGCCCATGCTGTGCTTGCAAAGAAGAAGCCAAGCTACATGTGTGGACTATGAAAGCACACAGCTGTGATCCCGGACAGCACCTGGAATGCTGGGGCAGGACCGCCACATAGGAGGCCAGCCTGGGCTTCATAATGAAACCCTGTCTCAAATAATAATAACTACATAAAAATTAAAAAAAAATAGAGCTAGGCATAGCTGTGTGTACCTTTAATTAATCCCAGCATTCTGAAGGCAGAGGCAGGCAGATCTCTATGAGTTTGAGGCCAGCCTGGTCTACAGAGTGAGTTCCATGCCAACCAGAGATACTTAGTGAGACACTATCTCCAAAATAAAACAAAACAAAACCGTAGAGCTGGGGATATAGGTCAGTGTTACACTTGCCTAGCTTACTCCAAGTCCTGGGGGGTCGGGGGGGGGGGAGGATAGGAAAGGAGGGAAGAGGAGCCTGCTTGTTAGGCACACATAAGTTATAACTTGTCCCTATAAGTATCTAAGTTTACAAGCCTGGTGCAGAAGCCAGTGGGCTTGTATGCTGGTGACATTTTGGAAGCCAGTGGACTTGTATGCTGGTGACATTTTGGAAGCCAGTGGACTTGTATGCTGACAAGTGACACTTTGTGTGGTTCCCAAATGTCCTCTCCCTTTGTTCACTCTGTTGCTTTCTTACCTTTTGATGCTGAAGGTTCTCTCCTAACGTATCAGAAGACTTTAGTGCTGACCTAAAATGGATAATCACAGTTGCTTTAAAACAAGTCTGCAGAACTGACCTGGCCCTAGTTGTACAGGAAGTGGAAAAGGCCAAAGGAGATGATGGCTGCCCCTTGTTCAAGACACTCCCTAGTAAGTATTCCATGAGCATGCCCTTTACACAGCAGACCTTACCTAAGTTTATGGTAGACCCTTCCTGATGTGTTGGAAAGGAGCTGATCCGCTGAAGCCATGAGGTTTCTCAGGTTACTTTACTCCTAGATTAAATACAGGATCTGTAGAATTTGAAGGGGCTTAGCCAGCCATGTGCTTGTCCCAAGAACAATTCAACTGAGGAGAAGGAGACGCAGAGGGAGACAAACATCTGAAGTCAAAGACATGACCTTCCACTACATACACCCCAAAACTTTCCAGTGGGACCAGGACCTTCTCCAGTGAGGTCAGGTGAGAGCACATGGCCCACTCGTCCACGTCAAGGGCATGTTTCCAATAAGAGGTCAGTGCTAGGACAAGATATTCGGGCACCAGACCAGCAGGGTCCCCAGCCCTGATGAGAGTGGGGGCGGGGCATCCTCAGAATAGCCAGCTAGGAAAGAAGGGACCGACTGCTGTACCCAGGGGACTGGACCATAGGGTTCCTAGGAGGCGTCGGGGAGAGAGGGAAAAGTTGGGAAGAAAATAGTGAGGAGAAAAACAAGAGAATGCAAGCTCACGCGTATCTGGCTCAAGAGACTGAATTCCAGGGATGAAGGGCAGCGGGAAGGTTCTCAGCATAAGAGGGAAGGCAGTGGGGAGGAAAACTGAAGACTGGCCAAGAAGGTCCTCTCTCTCCAGTGATGTCTTGACAACCCACAAGGGAGGACCGGGGGCAGAGAAGAGACAAGGCGGAGGGCTAGAAGCCAAGAACCAGGGTAACCAAGGAAAATGGCAGAAGCTTCTCCAGACAAAGGAGCAGAGCGGGAGGGGGTATGAACCACTCAGCTAGAAATAAACTCAGATATCTGGAGAGTGGGGGACTGATCAGCTTAAAGCATAGATACATTCAGGGGATGGAAAGGAAAAACACAAAAGACAACTAGGATGTGGTACTGAGAGAGAGAAAAAAAAAACACTGAAAACGGCAGTTAAAAAATACCTGCAACAGTGTATTTATTTATAAGTACATTTCTGTTAAATGTGTGAATGTATGTGTTGATGCATGCATTAAAAAAAAAAAAAAAAGGCCCAGTAGGGCTGGAGAGATGGATCAGCAGGTAAAAGCCCTGACTGCTCCTGCAGAGGACCCAAGTTCAATTCCTAGTATCCAACATGGCAACTCACAACTGTCTGCAACTACAATTCTAAAGGATCTAATGCCATCCTCTGACTCCTTGGACACTGCACACACATGGTGCACAGGCATGGATGCATAAAACACTCATAGACGTAAAATAAAAATAAATTTTTAAAAAATAAAAAAAGCCTAGGAAAATATGCCTTAAGTTTAATGGCAGTTATTTGTGGCAGATGAGGAAGTGGGGTGAGGTTCATGTTAAATATGCATTCCTCTA